TTTGCATCAATTTTCTGGTTTCTATTATTTGAATTGGTGATTTTTTGTTTTTTAGAGCATTTAAAAACTAGTTTGCATTTGAGAATAGTTCTCACTATCAATTTATTTTTTACTCCAAGTTATAGCTAGACAATTTCAAACAATCGCTTCAACAGCAATCCAGATTTGCTTGAAAAGGTCTTAACTGCCAACGAATTATGTGTAAGTATATGGTTTATGTGTATATGGTTAGGACATCGAATGTATTTGGAATCATTCAGATAATTCCTATTAAAATTGGTTGAGCGCACAGAAATTTTTGTGTCACACAAAATTTTAATACGATTTTAATTTTTTCATTCAACACCGGTTTCTTTCATTCTCGATTCAAAGATGGTAGTAACAACATCTCTCTGAATTATCTTTCTTTGGGTTATCCATGTTCAAGTTGCAAGGAAAGAGGAAGATGCACAAAGTCTCCATCGATCCATTAGTTTCCCTGTATTTTAATTATTCATTTTAAAAGGTTTTCTTCAACAGAAAGATTTAGAGGCAAGTTAAATGTTGCCATCGAATTTCCTCTAGATGGATTAGACATGAACAATTATGCAGCAGATAATGTGACTCCTTGTCGTTATAATCTATATGCACTTTCGAATCACAGTGGGTCTACCTACAGCGGACATTATACAGCATTCTGCAGACATGCTTATACTGGCACGTGGCACAAATACAATGATTCACAAGTGTCACCAATTTCGCCAAAATCGCTTGTGAGTGAAGGAGGAAACGAGTTCGCAGCTTTGAGTGTTTTGAAAAGTTATTTTGAACTTTTGATTTTGATGTTATAATGAATTATATGTTATTATACTGTCATTTCAATTATGATGTTTGAAAACTTTATCCATGATACAATTTTCAATTCAATGTGATGGTCCTCTGCGATTTAATTCATTACACATAACTATAAACGTAATCAAGACTGTTTGTTATGAGTTATTACAACAAAAATATTTCAAACAGCAATTAATAATCCGTTACTAATTGTTTCTCCATTGTTTTGCCACGGATAAGTCTATAAGATACCAAGTAGCAAAGTTCTCATTTTTTAATCACCAAATGGAACGTACTATTCTGATCATTCCCATATTGATTTAAATTTAAGTACCACTGGTAAACAGGTGTTGAAGGGATTGAAGACAAAATGTGGATAACCAAGAAAAGTAGGTACCTACTTGATAAAAATAACTGTCTCGCACTGTCATTTGAATCATTACATGCGGAGACTCGGACTGTCGGACGACAGTGTGTTGTCTCTGTTTGGAAAATAATGAAACAGCAGAGCACATAATTTGTGCCTGCCCCGCTGGGCGCCGAATCAGGTTTTGAAGAGTTCGGCAGAGCCGTACAAGGTTCACCAGTTGATCTCCACTCAGATGACGATCGTTTTGATTCCGGAGTAGAGTGATGGATCCATGTTTCATCCATTGTCATATATTGACACAAAAATTCCGGTTTGTTATTTTTGAACATGGCCAAACACTGTTCAGAATCATCAAAACGTTCCTGTTTTTGGTAAACAGTGAGCTCCCGCGGCACCCACTTTGAACAGAGCTGTCTTGTAGTCAAATGCTCATGTAATATTAAACCAAGACGTTATTTTGAAGTCCTTATGATGTCAGCCTATTCACGTAACTTCAATCTTCGATCTTTCAAAACGATTTTGTGGTGTTACTGCCTCATTTGGACGTCCACCGCGTTCTGCATCATCGGTGTCTTTACGACTATGTTTGAAGTCAGCAAAGCAACGTTAATTGTTGTTTTTGATGAAGTGAAGTCCTAATAACACTTTTCAAGCCATTGCTTCGCTTGAACGGTATTTTTTCTTATCAAAATTGAAACACCAAATTGTTTTTACCCAGTGTTTTGAAAATACCAAAAGAAGTGTCACTCTCAGCAAATAACTCACAAACTTACTAGTAGAATATCATGAAACTTCAACAGCGTTCTTCTGGAGGTTAATACTATAACTGAAGAAGCGGTGAGTGCAATAATACCAGCGACATCTATGTGTTAGGCCCGATACTTTTCAGCCCGTGTAATAATAGCCCGGTTCAAAGTGATAGGAAGGGTTCAACTCTTGTTCTACTTGATGATGCTTCAACAACTATCTCAACTTATCAAGATTTTTTGACCGATGAGAGTTCTTGAAGCTCAAGTATGTCAATATATGACCCAATTCAATTTTTGGTATGAATAACACATATTCTTTGAAGTATAAGTATATACCCATATGAATGCCCAAAATTTCAAATATTTTGAGAATAAAACCTATATTTGAGCTAGCTTCAGAGTATCTACTTAGTTTCACTTTATACTAGAGCATTTTAAGTACTGCAGAGACGATAAGGCAAGTGTTTTAGGTCGAAACATCAGATGTCCACCAGTGAGGATGACAGACTTCTATGTAAGAGAAATTTTACATGTTTCATATTTTACATGTTTCATAATTGTGTAGTAATCCTGTAAATGGTATCTGATTCAATCCCATAACGAATATTTGGAATACAAACATAGTAAAACGAAGTGTTTTTTGTATATTTCAGCATTCATATGAGAGTATTTGTTTCGAAAACATGTTTCTTTCGTGTAATTTAGTATTTATCCAAATGAAAGTGGCTATTTTAAGAGAGGGCTTCTTTTCTACCTTGTATCTTAAAAATACTTCTTTGTACAGATTTTATTTTTTTAAATTGATTGCTTCTTTCCTTTCTTTGGAAGATTCCCTCATTTTTTTGTAACAAGATGAAGAAGTGGAAAGTCAAATAACGTTTTTACCAAAGAACTAAGCTGTCTTAAAAAATATCCACTTTTCATTTTGAACGAAAGTCTTATGGCTGGGATTGAATCAGAAAACAGTACGATTGTTTATATGTACTGTAATCGTGACATGAACGAGATGTATTTGTTAATAGCAGTCAGACCGCTACGTGCAGCACATCAAATGAAAGA